CCAGCCGCTCACCGTGAAGGGGACGTCCCCGACGCTGCCCACCGAGTAGCAGTTGTCGCCGGGGTTGACAGCCCCGGTGAGGACCTGGTGCAGATGCATCTCCGGAGCCCGAGCTGTGGACCGAGGAGGAATGCGCCAGAAGGGGCCACGGACCTTTCCCCGGGCGCGGCCCCCCCCCACAGCCGTTTCCCCACCGCCTCTCTCGGGAACCCCGACCCTGAGGCGGGCTCCGGGCTCAACGCCTCGCTCGGCTTTCGCCTTCCCTCCGCCTCTGCCCAGCCATGGGAAAGGTCCTCGTCAAGCCGCCGCCGCCGCCGCCCGGTCGCCGCTCGGCTGCGCAAATGCCCGGATGCTCCCACAGCCAGCTGCACCGGCGCACAAATGCGGGAGGAGGAGGAGGAGGAGGGCACCGGTGCGTGTGAGGTGGGGGAGGCGCGCCGAGGGGCAGGAGGGAGGGGGCGTGAGGTGAGGCGTGACGGGGGAAAGGGGAGCGCGCGCGAGCCCGGCGCGTGCTAGGAAGCGACGCTCCGCCGGAGGGGAGCCGGTCCGAGCGCGCGCGGGCGCGCGCCCGACCTCAGCCGAGGAGCGCAGAGCGAGTGGGCGGGGCTTTACGCCTTTTTCCCGCTGGGAGCCTCTAGGCTCTGTCCTCCCGGGTTCTCCTCTGCTCCTCCTCTTCCCTCCCCCGCCCCCTTACAGCGCCAGCCCCGCGCGTACGCATGCGTGCGCAGTGGTTTCCAAGGTAACTGTGCGCGCCGCGCGCCCCTCTGGTTCCTCCCTTCCCCTCTGCCCCTCCCGCTCCTCCACCACCTCCAGCTGGGTTGCGCGCGCAGGCGGGAGTTCCCAGGGAGATTCTGGAGCGGAGCCCAGGGCCGGGGTGGGGCGGGGAGCGCGCCACGCGGGGACATCGAGCTTGCGGGTGTTGCTGCGGGCTTCATCTCCTCGCGTGGGTGATGATGGTCAGTGCTGTTGACCTCCGGAGAAGGACACTACTGTCACTGGGAAATTCCACCTAGGGAACATTTTAGAGCCCGTCACTCTTGGTGAAGGGGGAAAGTACGGCGCGCACGATTTCATTTTCCTGACATCTTGCAGCGGATTCCACAAGCTGTGCCACCCTGACGGAAAATTATGTTGTTTCCCTCCTTATGGCATGCGTATTTTAAATGTATAAAAGCCCCCTCCCCGCCCGCCCTCAAGAACAAGAGGGGTGACTCCTCGCTTTTGCATAGGCGATGTCATGGAGTGGCAGAATCGCCTGATTTCCCCCCACCCCAGACCATCTGCTAGATTTTGAGTGGTTAAATACAAAGATCAGATCCTTGCTGCAGGCCAGTTCGTCACGATTATTATTATTATTTTAGCTCGTGTTGTGTATGATACAGAGATAAGAAAGGCTACCAAGAGTATGGCACCTGAAGAACCGTGCATCGCAAAAGAAGGACGATAGTGCCTAGAGATGGACAAAGTCAAAGTGTTGTGGATCCGTAACACGGGGTATACTTTTGAATACGCTGAAACCAAAAAAAAAAGCTGCATGCCCATAGGGAAAGTTAGCCAGAGCCCTACTGCCCTTTTAGTTTAGAGAAGCTAAATGGATGGATTAGAGGCACAGATTTGTTTAGAAGTTTGAGGCTGATGATTAGGATAGGAAATGGAAATAGTAATTAAATAGAGTTAAAGGTCAGGAGAAAGTCTGTCTTGTTCTGCCAGACATGGAGAGAGTTTTACAACTTTACCAAGAGGTCTAGATGTCATTCTGTATGGGGGAGGGGCATGTGTCCAGAAAGGGTGGGATGATTCAGAGCATGAATTTATAAAAATCAGAACTGCTCTAGGAAAATGACTCTGGAGAACTTTGAGGCATTAAACCAAGGAAGGCAAAAATAAATAAATAAATAAAGTAGCCTCCTTGGTTGAAGGGAAAGGAACAGGAGGAATCAATTCTCAATAATAGCCCAAGGCATTTTCTCCCATACCTCAATTGGATGCCTCCGATCCATTCCCCCATCCTCTCCACCAGCATTTACCGTCATTTCTCACTTAACTACCAGAAATAGCCTCCCAGCTGGTTTGACAGGCTTTAGTCCCTTTAGTCTTAATCCATCCAGAGAAAAATCTGATTTGTTGATAGTAAGTTTTATTTCAGCAATGCTGGGAATTGAACCCAGACCCCTGCACCTGCTAGGCAAGCACTCAGCTGCTAAGCTATATAACCCCAGTCTGGTTATTTTTTTTTAGTGTGTGCTTGTGGTGTGTGTGTGTGTGTGTGTGTGTGTGTGTGTGTGTGGTGTCTGTGTGGTATGTGTGTGTGTGTTTAAGGAAAATTCCTCTATATAAAGTCCTACAGTGGCTCCCACTCCCTGTCTGTTAAAGTCCAAATTCCTTAGGCTGGCTGACAAACACATTCAATCTGGCTTCTTCCTAATCTTCCTGTTTTATCTCGGGCTGTTCTTTCAGCTTCACTGTGCTAACATCTTTTTCAGAGCATTTTATGATCTTTCGTGCATCCTTACCTTGGCTATAGCTCTTTGCTTTGTTGAGAATGTTTTCCTCCCCTTATTGGACTAACAAACCATATTTTAGCTAGCCTGGAACTAAAGAGCTGAGTTCAAGCCCAACAACCAACAAAACAACAACAACAAAAACTAAGAGTCAGTGCCCAGGCCCTAAATTCAAGACCTAGTACTGGCCCAAGCACACAAACACACACACACACACACACACACACACACACACACACACACAGTGTGATTTTTGTTTTGTCTTGAGCTTCCTTTGCTCAAGGCTAGCACTCTATCACTTGAGCAACAGTGCTACTTCTCACTTTTCCTGTTTATGTGGAGAAATCGAACCCAGGGCTTCATACATACTAGGCAAGCATTCTACCATTAAGCCACCTTCCCAGTCCAAAAATATGCTTTTGAAAATAAAGTTACTTGGGGCTGGGAAGGTGGCTCAGTGGTAGTGTGCTTGCCTTGCATGCATGAGGCCCTGGGTTCAATTCCAGAGCACCATATAAACAAAAAAAGCCCAAAGTGGCATTGTGGCTCAAGTGGTAGACCACTAGCCTTGAGCTGAAGAGCTGAGAGACAGCACCCAGACCTAGAGTTCAGGCCCCACAACCACCAAAAAAAAAAAAAAAGAAAGAAAGAAAGAAAAAGAAAAAGTTACTCATGCTAAGGAACCTTGTGTATCTGATTCTATGTGTTATATATATACATATATATATATATGTGTGTGTGTGTGTGTGTGTGTGAGAGAGAGAGAGAGAGAGAGAGAGAGAGACAGACAGACAGAGACAGAGACAGAGATGCCTGGGAATGAACTCAGGGGCTTGTGCTTGCTAGACAGGCAACTTGAGCCATGCTCCAGCACATTAAGTCTTTTTCTAAGAAGCCAACTATCCCCTGATGACCTCATCAGAATATAAAACTCATTCCATTTTATAGAATAAGTCACTGTCTGATTATAGAATCAAAGGCAAAAGGCAATTAAACTCCCTAAATTAAATATGTTGTAATTTCTGTCTTTTGGGCGCTAGGCACAATGTACTGAGTCCTAAGAAATCACTGATTATCTATATGTAATTATGTACTACTGATTATGAACAAATGTACTAAGCTATATAGCTAAAAAGAAATATATTGAAAGTGTAGCAAGCAACAAAAAGATAAAAATGATCAATAGTCCATGAGACCCTTTGCTATGCATAGAAATCATGGAAAACCATTACAGTAAATTCTGAATGTACATCATTCCTGTAATGTACATACAGACACAGAGCAATTAAAAATGTGTATAGAGCAAGCAGTAAAATACAGTAACTTTATTTATTTTTGTTGGTCATGGGGCTTGAACTCTGGGCCTGGGCACAGCTCAAGGCTAGTAAGAGTTAGTCCTGCCGGGCACCAGTGGCTCACACCTGTAATCCTAGCTACTCAGGAGGCTGAGATCTGAGGATTGCTGTTCAAAGCCAGCCTGGGCAGGAAAGTCCATGAGACTCTTATTTCCATTAAACTACTTAGAAAATCAGAAGTGGCACTGTGGCTCAAGTGGCAGAGCTGAGGGATAGTGCCCAGGCCCAGAGTTCAAACCTCACAACTGACACAAAAAAAATTAAAAATAAAACAGTGAAGTATTAAAGTTGGAGCAAGTCCAACACAATATTCATACATAAAAGCAAATATTTTACCAAATAAAAACTTAATGTGTATTACAAAACTTTTTAAACTATGAAATAGAAAAATAGCTATGCAACAAGAAATGAACCTTGTTTCTAAATATACAGACTTTAGTCTCTACTCTTCAGACTTAAATGTCTTGAAGCCTGAAAAACATTGATAACATTGGATTCTGGATGAATCTCCATCTCTCACCTTCTCTGCATTAGAAACAGAGTCAAAAGCATCACTAAACAACAAATCATACGAACTTGCGAAGAACATTGCTAATTCCACATTATTTGAACCATTTCACAACTGGTTCTTGTTTTGTAGCATTCCATGAGGTTTTGACTCATTCACATAGCAAGGAAACTCCTTTTCTTCCTTGTTCCTCTGTGTATCAACTCAAAACCGGAAGCCTGCATATACCAGTTCCTTGCTTCCCTCTGTGTCCCTAAGTGACTCTGAGGGGGAAGGGTGTACTTGGTACTGGGCCTTTAACTCAGAGCCTCTTGAGCTTTTTTGCTCAAGACTGGTGCTCTACTACTTGGGCCACCTGTCTACTTCTGGATTTTTGCTGGTTAATTGGAGATAAGAATACCTATAATTTGTCTGCCCAGAATGGTTTTGAACCACTCTGAGAGCTCAGCCTGAATAGCTAGGATTACAAAACATGAACAACTGACACCCGCAGCTCAAATGACTTCTTAATAACTACATTTCTAAGTTGCAACTGACTAGTTCAATCTCTTACAATTATAGTTGAGCATTTTAGTGTGCAGACAGTCTGGTCAGACAAATGCATTTCCAGGGCTAGAAGGTTGGCTCAGTGGTAGAGTGCTTGGCTTACATGCATGAGACCCTGGTTCGATTCTTCAGTACCACATAAGCAGAAAAAAATCCAGAAGTGGCACTGTGGCTCAAGTGCTAGGGCACTAGACTTAGCTGAAGAGCTGAGGGACAGCGCCCAAGCCCAGAGTTCAGCCCCCCCCCATGACTGATGAAAGTAAGAAAAAAAGAAAGGAAGAGAGGAAGAAAGAAAGAACGAAAGAAAGAAAGAGAGGCATTCCCAAGTAATATGACAAATTTCCTGCCTTTCAGGACACTGAACAACTTTTCTT